TACAAATCAACGAGTCAGGGATGACTCGTAAAAGAGGCGGCGGCGAGATCGGCTTTCAGAGCGGTAATCTCGAAAGTAGTTTTCCGGCGTACTTCGTCGATTTCGCGCGTTCGCTCTGCAGATCCAAGTCAGATCCAGTGCGATATGCATGACTGAACGCGCACCTTCGGCGTCTCGCTCGTAACGAGTTGCCTCTGCCTCGGCACTTCGAAGCTCTTCGCGCGCCTCGGCAAGATCGGCTGTGTTATGATGAGCTATGCTTACTGCTGTATATCACTTGATTTAACCTTCTAGCTTGTCAATCTTGCTTTGAGAGGCGCGGTCCGCAATCTGTGCGCCGGAAATCTCGGCTTTCAGGGCATCTATCTGAGTCGTAGCTTCCTGGCGCGCTTCGTCGGCCTCGCGTTCGTAATCTGTCAACTCTAAGTGAATACGTCGATGCTATGGGCATTTCCGGACACATACCTTTCGCCTCTTCTTCGCGCAGTCCGATCTCCACTTCTGTCTGCTCCAGTTTCTCGCGCAGCTCAGAAAGCGCCAGTGAAGCAGCCGCCTCATTTGCCTGTTGCGCAATAAGCTGCGCTGCGCCGTGTCAGCCTAGCGCACATTCGCATGTATCGAATCGATTCACCTTCAAGCTCCTCTATGCGAATCTGAGAGGCACGACGCGTTTCCTGGACAACGGTGAGCTCGGCTTTCAGGCCGTCAATCTCGCTTGTGGTCTGCTGGCGAGTTCTGTCTATCTCTCGTGCGCGATCTGTAGAGCTGTCAGAGAAGGTAAGACGATACGCATCACCGTAGATTTACCTTCACTTTCCCGCTTATGGCGCCTGGCCTCCGCTTGTGCGTGTTCGAAGTCCTTGCGCAGATCAGCAAGAATCAGTGAAGTAGCTGCCTTCTCCGTATGCTCTGCGGCGAGTTCGGCTGCATATAATGAGTCTGGAGCAATGGTGCGTGTACCGAATGACCGCACCTTCAAGTTCCTGCGCTCTAGCATGCGAAGTACGACCCGCGTCCCGTGCGGTGGTGAGCTCGGCAGTCAGGCGGTCGATCTCAGTAGTGATTCGCTGGCGGGCTTCGTCTGACTCGCGCGCGCGATCTAGTGGAACTCAGTCAGAGTACGTACAACCCGGTATAATGTACGCGCACCTTTATCTTCCCTGTCACGATGTATGTCCGCCGCTATCGACTGTTCAAGTTCCTCGCGTAGCTCCGCGATCTCCTGTGATGCAGTCGCACCACCCGCACGCTCCGCAGCAAGCTCAGCTACCCTACGATGAGCTTAATGCGCGCACGTATCGCTAATGAGCCTACCTTCTACTTCGTCTATCTTGACTTGGGCAGCACGTTCCGAATCGCGTGCGGTGGCGAGATCGGCTTTCAACCTGTCAATCTCAGCAGTAGCTTGCTGGCGTGCCTCGTCGGCCTCGCGGGCTTGCGCTGTGGGCTCCGGTGAGGGATGATGGTGATTGCATGACCTTACACGCACCTTCGGCTTCGTGCTTGTGACGCTCAACCTCCGCTTCGATATGCTTGAGCTTTTCGCGCGCGCCGGCAAGTGCCAATGTGGCTGCCGCTCCCTTCCCACGCTCTGCGGCAAGACTGGCTGTGCTACCATCAGTCCAGTACACTGCCGCGTACATTGCACGAATTCACCTTCGAGATCCTCTATCCTGGCTTGAGAGGCCCGCTCAGCGTCCTGCGCGGTAGCAAGTGCGACTTCCAAGCCGTCAATCCGACTATCAGTCTGCTGGTGTGCTTCATCGGTCTCGCGCTTGAGATCTACCGGCTCAGGTCAGTCTCGCGACAGCAACGTCCCGCGTAACCGTTGACTCACTTTCGAGTTCTGCAGCATGGCGCAAGGCATCAGCCTTGACCTCTTCAAGCTCCGTCCGCGCAAGAGCAAGCTCCGAGGTGGCCGCTGATTCCGTGGAACGCTTCTGAGAGAGTTCTCCTAGCAGAGCAACGTCAGCCCAGTTCATGGTAGTTTTGCGGGTAGCTTACCTTGGAGATCGTCCAATTCCAGCTGCAGTACGCGATTAGCGGCTTGCTCGTCAGCGAGCTCGACCCTTAGATCCTCAGTCGGAGAGATTCTCTGTTCCAGTGCTTCTTCAGTTTGGCACGCTCGATCTGGCCCTCTCGGTCAGCCAAACCATGTACATGGGAATGTAAGCGTATGCGCACCCTCATAGTCCCGATACTGACTAGCATCCAGCGCTGGAGGATCCTGAATCTTCGTCTTCCCTTCCGACAATGCGCTGTACAAAGCCTTTTCGTCCACCAGATTGGCGCCCACTCCAGCTGCGATACAATAAGCCACACGCTCCAAAGAGACTATGCGCTACTCACCATCCAGCGTACGTCTCAACGTGGGATCCTCTCTCACTGGTTGAAGTGGGCCGACTGTCGGCAGGAACGAGTCATCCCTGACATGAAATTGACTAAGTCTGTACTAACCAAATACTGTGATTTTGTGCGATCACGAAGCGCGGGTTAAATTATTGATAAGACTGTTGAGCCTACTGGAGGTACGTTAAGATAGTGGGCGGCTAGAAGTCCCAGTAGTGACTCGATTACAGTGCGACAAAAGCTACCGTATATCTTGCTTAATTACCCAAGCAATAGACCCTTTTTGCCCCTTCTCCCTCGAGCCGCTGCGCCCTACGCTGCGACTCATCGTCTAAGCTCATCCACTAGCTTTCTGCAAGCTTTTAAGCTTCCTCCGCTAGCTCCCAACTTGGTCGTACGGCTTAACACCGTACTTCTTTCTGCTTCCCTCCCTGCTCCCGAGGTCTCGCCTCGGCTTCTTCAAGCGTCTCTTGCACTTACCGTGCTGCATTGTTGTGTTATTGGTGTCTCTTGCGCCTTCAGCCCCTGCTTAGCACATCAACGTGCTCGCATTGAAATGTATGCACGGTATCTGACCGGGCGTGGTTGATCAGTCATCGAGCGTGTTACCCACGTGATCGCGTCTGGACGCGGCAACTTCGCCGCAAGATGGCGAAGTGGCTGCGTCTTCCTTCTACCACCACCATTCGTGCCTTCAGGCGCCAGTTTAGTTGTCTAAGCTTACTCCTCTTCTCCTGCTCCATTTTCGCTCTGGGGCCCTCTGTAATATGTCTTCGATATCTGTCCCTGGGTCCCGCGTTCAGTCCAATGGCTCGCAACCACAACCACTGGGGGGGCGTGCAACCGACCTTTCGCAAGATCCGATTTATGTTAGTAGCAGTGACGAAGAAGATGCTACTGTGGGAGCTGGAGGGTCTGGTTTGAGGAAGAGGAAGGCAGGAGACGATCATGAGCTTCGCAAAAGGGCGCGTACACTTGCGCCTGAATCCGCGGGTCCTGGAAACAGCGTGGCGGTGGCTTCTGAGCCGGATTGGAATGGTTATATCGATATGCTAAAGGCTAAGCTTAAGGCGTCCGATGTGCGTCAGACGCTGTCTCATCAGCAATCATATCGTGCTAATATTCCACTAGCGGCGTGCAGAGAAGTCTGAGCAGCAAGCCATTGAGTGTCAGAAGCAGGTCGAGATGTCTGGGGTATTTTCAGTACTGTTTTTGGTCTGTGTGTAGTCGTCTGATGCTCAAGTTACAGGAATCCGCTCTTGGGGACTTGCTCTCTTCGATAACGGTGTGCCCCGTATGCTATCATCTCATGTTGCACGCGGCGAAGTGAGTATCACTTCATGTTGAGTTGCCTCCGCTGCCCACTGACAGACATTTCAAGCCTACCATGTGGCCATACTTATTGTGCAGTTTGTGTGCAAAAGTGGTTTGATACGATACTGGCCAAATACTGTGAAGAGCACCCGACTTATCAAACGAACCTCCGGTGGTCCTGGATCCCGTGGAGCGTAGTTCGCCTTTTTCCTCTCCTTCGATTCGAGTTCCTCTTTCTGAACCTCTTACATCAACTTCTGCCCAAGTTCACCTGTCCGAGCTGCCGCAAAGTCGTCTGGGAACGACCAAGCGCATGTTATCCGATCTCTAAAGCCGCCGAACACATGCTTCTGCTTAAGAGCGAGGAAGATCAAGACCTTGAATTGCAGAGATTCGCCGATATTGAGCTTTCTGGAGGAGCTCCATCTTGGGATAGATGGTTTGGGAAGATTGGCGAATGATTTGTACACTATGTCATCTGTTCTATATTTTGATTGTAAATGCATATCCTTGTAAATGCTCAGTAGGATTTAGTATGAAAAATCTTCGAGTTTTGTGATATTGCCAGTGAACAGTATCTGATTTTGGTGCTCTGAGAACCCTCTGAGGCAATACATCAAGACTGGGTCACTTGTATCCAGGCATGATAATTTAAATGCGCATATATTGACTCCACTGAGGGGTATAGTCAATCGGACTTCATTGTATGTATAGTATGATTGCGCTATTGGGAGAATGAGCTTCATAAGCACGATGTCAATACAATGTTTACTGCTCTGGGAAGGACAGATGTGGATCGCAAGAATGAAGCCAACTACACTATACGGTAGTGATTCAAAGAGCTGACCTTGGATACACACACCAGATGTTGCTCTATTGATGGTATGAGCGGGCGCTGGCTATTGACATTGCCTGATCAACACCTGTGGTTGTCATAATGATATGTACAGCGGTTTCCCAGTCACGTATTCCTTACTTTCTCTGGAAGTATTACAAGTGGTAGAGCGCGCGCCGATAACCTGTGCCCCTACGCATAGTCAACAGTGCATTCTCATGAAGACAGCCCAGTCTTCAGCAACAGTGTTTGACTTGATACCCTTCAGCATGCGAAGGTCGCAAGGCGGATAAATGCCGTCGTGTAAGATGTGATAGAACCTCATTGCGGTCCCTTCAGCAGTCCAAGAGAAGATCTGCTCCGTTAGATCGTGCAAAGCGTCGAGTTGCATGTGCATAGCACAGGAGCCAGCAAGGGCTTCCGCGGCCACTATATATGAATAGGTCTCCAGAGTATTTGCATCGCGGGCCTAGGGTTTCTCCATAATGACATTTGAAGTATGCCCAGTCAGCCCAGCAGCCGTGGACATAGGATATTTGCTCAAAAACCAAGATATTGTCTGCTTTCTTGCTTGTGCTGGTCTTCTGCCATGGTTACTCCGCCTGTCCTGGGGTATGATGCTGTATTATGACTGAAAACAGAAGCACGCTGAGTGTGAGGCAATATGGAGGTGAAATATAGCAGAAACCAGAATTCGACTCCCAAGAGAGAAGAGACGGAACCAAAATGCAAAAGCTGTGATCCGACTGCAATAAAGATAGGGGGTGCATTAGCCATGAGTGTCTTGAGTGACCAACTTAACCATCTGAACTTGTTTGCATTGTTTATAGCATTCGTGAGTGTGGGTACATCTGGTATGTGTTGTACTGTCCTTTTTCGGCCCGAAGTTCATAACGCGTGACAAGGCGTGGCACAAACTTTGTTATTGGGCATTTGCCATTTTGGGATCCTTTGAACCAGTCAATGCTACCAGGGAGTCGGCTTGATGGGGCGGGGAAGAGGTTGAAGGCGAGAGAACTTAGCAAACTCTGCACATGTTTGTAAGAGATTCGAAGCTACGGAAGACGCCGAACCAGTCTGGTGAGCCTGGTGAAAATCTGCTATATCACTGAATGTGCTTCACAATACATGCATGAACCGTGGTGAAAAATTGTATGCAGTGCTCCCAGAGGCGGAGACACGTCCTTCAACTGATGGAGTAATACATGGGAGGGTATGGACAAGGGGCATAGCACAGAGTCAGACATCACTTAGCGCACAAATTCTACAAAAGTTGTCGATGACTCTGGAATCATTGTCAATGTGAGGAAGAGTCAACGAGGACATGTTGTAAAATACTCTCGGTGCCTGTGCGAGTCTCATCACTGATCACAATCTCCTTCAATGGTCTGAGCATCCCGAGAAACTTCCACCGATGGCGGCCTCCTAAAGTCAATGTGGAGTGAGGGACTGCCATCCTAAGAGGCATGATGAGGACAGTCCTGATGGACTGAGTGTAATGGCGGAAGAATGTTCCTATGTCTCTTTTACACAATATCGTCAGACATTCTGGTCGGGCATGTATATTCAAGTGGTCATGCTCCCATTCATTAGGGCGAACAGCAGTAGCTTCATAGAAAAAGCGGACGTCAATGAGAGGGACAGGACGACCTGACTGCATAGTTTCATGTATGCTGGAGGAGAAACGGAGGAAAGTAAGTTGATTGGAGTGGATGATGTGCAGAACGTCATATGTTCTTGTCCTCTCGTAAAGTGCGCGTAAGAAAGAAGAGCTGAGAGATGCGGGTGATCTCCTGTCTTTCTCGGTGGAGTTGAAGTATGAGCTATAGGCCATGATGTCCCATGTCCCTGTTGTTTTGACGTATTTCTGAAGCACATCCACTGAGTGTATGCAATGGGACACAAATGTGATGTTGGCAGAGTATTGCGCCGGAGCAGGAAAGCCGTTGTCGCCCGTAGGATCCTGTATAGTTATCCCATCCATGCTGATGTGCACGAGCTGATGAGCAACCAAAGCGAGATATGCAACGAGAGCGTCAACATAGAACCAAGGCTGGTTTTCTCGACAACGGATGTTATCATATGAGACCCGGGCGGGATCATAGCGGGACTCCTTGCGCCGCATGGACGTCTTGACTCCTACAAAGCCAATCTCTTTGAGGTTTGGGGCTCGCAACACCGGAAGATCGCCTCCATCTATGTCAATCCGGTATATCGGGAGAGTCAAATGACGTAGGAACGGTAAACGGCCGTTCAGCTTGGCAATCCAATCAAGAGGATCACTTCCGTAGCTGACCGATGTATAGTCGGCGGCTGTGATGATGTGTTCGTAGTAGCACAGGGAGAATCGAACTGTGTCTGCATAAGCTGATATTGGCGCAGATGCTTTCAAACACAAATCGTCCATGACAAATTGTAAGATGTCTGAATGGTCCTGTCGCCAAGATGCAACAACAATTCGGTCAAGGTCAATGACTGTTGGTCTGTTTCCAGCAAGCTCCAGCATTCTGACAATAGCGTCTTTGTGAGGGAACGCGAGAATATTTCTAGCCCAGAGTGAGGACATGCTGCAGAGGATCGTTCTCCAGCGTCTGCATACATGTCCACATACCATCCATCCCACGCTGCAGTACGCTGGCCTGTTGACTCCCCTCAGAGCAGACCAACCAACCGGACTGATGATTGAGAGTTCTTGGAAGACTAGACACAGAAGCTCGGCCGGGAGCATAACCTAGACGGGGTCAGCCAACCTCAGCAATTGAATATGAGAGCATGTGCTTACAGGTCTCATATGTTTGATTCGCTCGCTATCAGGGTTGACCAGGCTGGAAGTCATGAATTGGGAAGGATCTTTTGGCTTCGGTGTCATAGTAACCAGACGCATGCTTATGCAGAAGAGAGTGTGCAAGGTTGGTCGGTGTCAATTTACAGAGGTAGGTGTGTCCAAGCACTCAAATATGCAACGCGCCGTGCTGTGCTGTACGGCAGGTAATCTGTGCAGATTGGTGCTATCTTACATGAATGGGAGTAAAACTAACGTATTCGCTCAAGATACAAGCCTGCAAGTACACGATACATCGCAAAGATCGTCATTGTCTGCCCGCATGGAGAAGTTGACGCCGTGATATCATTTATGGAATGCACAGTATAAGGTGCAGAAAATCAGGTATCTCAGACATCAATGTGTCTGTGCTGTGTAGTATCCCTGGCGTAGACATGGATTCTTGAAGTGCTGGTCACCACATAGATGAAGAATTCACTGCCTTGCTCTCCGCCTCAACAATAGCACTCATGGTTTGCCATGAGTCCGCATGCGCGTGCCGGAAACATGCCCTTTCAAG